TGTTGCTTTTTTAATCTTTTCAAAGATGAACCAGGTTATGGAATCAGAGGAGCAGTATCAGCAAGGCCATCTTCTGGAGGAATTGTGAACGCAAGCAGAATGAGTCACCAGTATAGGCACACGTTGTCGCATCAGAGGCAGATTTGTCATGTGTCGAAACACCATGGTGGAAGCAGCACGATGGCCACCAAATATCATGCGGAGGCACGTATCTTGGACCTTTTCAAGAGCCTTGAAATCAGCAACACGCATATTGGCAATGCCAATACCAATTCCAGTTTGGGTCTGATGAATGAAGCATACAATTTGGTGGAGAAGAGCAGAGGGAAGCCAGAACGATTGCATCCAATGGAGTTAAGCTGAGCCATTGAAGCCATGGTACCACGCTGACATTTTCTTGAACAATAGATGTTGTGCAGATGCCCTTGCGGTCAAATGGAATACCGAGATACACAAATTCATCGACAACAGGAAGACATTCTCCATACAAGGTCAGGTCAAGAAAGGTAGATGAGGTGGAGGACGTGGATTGATGATAGCACATTTGGCAGGAGCCCAGCGATACCCAAGTGCAAGGGAATGTGATTCAGCTAGTGTCAGCATCTGTTTTACTTCACGAGCAGAACCTAGAATAGCAACATCATCAGCATACAATAAAGCATTAATAGCAATATTAGTAGCATGAGTGGGTGTTATGGACGGACCAAAGAGGAGGGGAGCACATGATGGTGATGTTGACATGACACGAGTGGTGAGAGGACGATGCAGCTTGACGCAACAAAGCTGGCAGTGAGTTGAAAAGATACTGAATAAGGGAACTAAGGGTGGAGCCTTGAAGCAATCCAGTATGCAGTGAGAGTTCTTGGACACGCATTGCTGATTCAGCACTGAAATAGAAACATCGTCAAACAAATTGGAGAGCAATGAGACAAGTGGCATTGGAGCATTGGCAGAGAGCAGCGAATTCCAGATCACACGGCGATCAACAACATCATAGGCACTCTTATATCAAGGAAGCACACAGTTGGCCAGTGGTAGTGTTGGTTCTGGTAGTCTTTCATTAAGTCTTGGAGACTAAGAGCACTATCAAGTGCACTTCTTGCGGATCGGAAACCATTCTGGGCTACGTCTAATGGTGGTGAAATGGTGAGGACAAGGGGAGCAAGGCACATTTCAAAGAGTTTTCTCAGTGTACTAGTCAATGAGATGGGCCGAAAGCTTGATGCCTCCGTGACAGGTCCCTTCTTGTAGATGCTACAAACATTACCATGACGCCAATCCGCTGGTGTGTAAGACCATTGATAGGTCAGAGCAAAGAGGTATGACAGAACAGTGGCAAGTGGTTTCTGAATGGGTTTCAGCATTTCACCACGAATTGAATCACGGCCAGGTGCTTTACGGTATGGCAACGACTTGATCTGCTGAATGATATGGTCAATACTAATAATCTCGTCAAAAGCTTCGTTGTGGACCGATGCTGAGACAACACGACGTGTTGGGTCAGAGTCATCATGTGGTAGAGTTCTATGTGAGAGGTATGATGGGATGAAAGGAGAAGCATGCGGATTCAATGTACTGATGTCACCATTTGCCAGACGAGTACCACCAAGATGGGAGGCTGACTGAGGAGGAGGAACACCATATGGCAGATGTCTACCATGTGTAGCAAAAGGGCATGGAGGTCGATTTGTTGGGAGATTGGATCCAGCATAAATGGTAGCAAGGTGATCACGCATAGCATTAGCACCAGCTTGAGCACCGTCCACATGTAGATACCCTGATTGTCTTTGTCGTCTGGATTTGATCAACTTGATTTTTGACATGGCCTTTGAAAAGTCTTGCTTGAATAAAGATTCACAGAATGCGTGCCACGAAACCTGTTTAGCTCTACGAAGGGCCTGTTTGAACTTTTGATGTGCTTCCACATGTTGATTCCACCAATATGCCTTGTCCAATGAAGCGGGACAACGACGATATTTACGATAGAGAGCTTCACGATGATCACAGAGCCGTTGAAGATCGAGGGTCCAGAATTTCTTCCAAAAGTTGGGTCGCTGGGATTGCCGAGTAACGGATTCATCCAGTGCCTGATATATACAATTGGTGAGATCACTGTTGAGGGTATCGATTGGAGGTTGTGTATCAGGTGGTGAGCGCACAAGCGAGATCAGCTGTTGTAGCAACGGTTGAGAGAGGGCTGTAAAGCGTTGTGCATACAAATTGCGTACATCCGTTTCTTGTAGACGTGAGAGCTTCCATAGGAGACGAGGTGATGGTGATGGCGTAGCAGGCATAGCAAGAGCAGGTTCGTTTGAGTGGTAATCAAACGTCAGAGACATCAGTTTATGATCAGATCCCAAAGACAAGTCAGAGTAAATACTAATTGAGGAGGAAGAAGGTGGAGATGAGGTATCCAGAGAGGCAAAGGAAAGTGATTCTACATTTGAGATGTAGTAATCGACAATGCTACTTACATTCCGCCCACTACGACGGTCCTCAAAGGTAGGTGTAGAGTGGGCTAATTGACAGTTCAAAACGTTTAATTGATTATCGGCCACAGTACTCTTGAAGTAGACGACCACGGTTATTTGTAGAGGAGTCACCAAACAAAGCTACCCATGCGGGCATTCAGATCGCCACAGATGATTGTGTCATGATCCAACGGGATCGCATTCAGGATGGAAGAGACATTTTCAGTATAGAGATCCGCTTGCTCAGGTGGTATATACAGACAAATGAGCCGAAGTTCACGACCAAGTTGAATACCCAAAGCAAACTCTTGAAGAGCAGAGGGCAAAGGCGTCTGGAATGCTGTAAGGGGACAGGAAGGGTTGATTAAGCATGTAATGCCACGAGAGCCACGACCACCGCCTGCGACAGTGACGCCAGGTAAGTGGAATTTGCTGCCAATTGGTGGGTAGTCGGATGGGATGGCGGTTCAGCCATGTTTCGGTAATGAACAGCACAGAGAAGGATTGGCAATAACGGAGAACATCATCAATGGTGGTATCTCTGAGACCGCGAGCGTTCCAGAGGCCAATGGTGAGTGGAGTGAGTTGAGAAGCGCTATTAATGACTGGAGCCAAAGCTGTAGGAGGAGGAGGAGTAGTAGGTATAGTGTTATTGAGTATAGTTGGTATTGATGAGGACGGATTAGAAGCAGAGAGAGGATGGTCAGGGAGCGAGGAGGATGTATAATGACTGAGAGGACTCTCAATCATTAATACTCTTCTTCGTCGGAATCAGACATGTCAACAATCAGATGAGCCAGAGCTTTTCTTGAAACCAGAAGAGCCAAAGATGTTATTGACAGGGGCGACAGAATCAATGTATTCAGTGGTGGTCCAACCATTTTCCAAAAAGTGATTAGCAACAGAAGCAAAAAAGACGAGAACGACGATTGGCAAGGTAGACAAGAGACTTGGCACAACGATTGATTTGCAGGTCAAAGGCAGCATCCTCACGCTTAGAGAGGGACATCTCTTTAAACTTGGGGTCAGCGAGGTGTTTGGGATCAGTAGGATCAAAGCCTTCCACAACATTGATGTTGTTCTTGGTGAGAATGGAGACGAGGTTGTCCTTGTATTGCAAATGGGACTAGGACGCCAATGATGTTTCTAGCAGGGAACGTTACATCAATGATACGAGAAGCATCAGCTTTGATCAGATGCAAGTTGTTGCGGACTTCAGTGCGAGTGAAGCGGCGAGAGCGGTTAAAGTACACCGTTGTGTAGCCTTTGGGCCCTTCAGGAGCCAAGTTAAAACCACGAGTAATAGCTTGGCGATGTTTGTCAGTTACATCGGCAGGGTTGCGAACCTTTTTGGAACGTTTGATTACTTCGGTCCAAGAGTTGTTGGGAGTCTTTTTGGTGGCATTGGGTGCTTGTTGCGTGGATTGAGTAGCTGAAGAATGAGGTTTGGGTTGCTGTTGAATACCTGATTTGGGTTGCGCTTGAGTGGTTGTGGAACCTTGTTGAGAGTTGAGTTGCTGACGCAGACGCTCATTCTCTTGGGTCAGGGATTCATTTTGTTTTTGGAGATTCAAAATAGTGGTTTTCAAGGCATTTAGCTCTTGCAAAGCACTGTTGTGGGCAGAGATGTCCTGTTGCATGGTCAATACTAGTCTCTGCAGATCCATCTGCGACATGAGAGTAGCTGGTGTATCGGTGTCCATTGTCATTGTTGATCGATACAAAGGTGTTGAGATGTCGAAAGAAAAATATGATGTTTTTTGTGGGTTTTTCAAAAAAGATGAATATCTGTTCGATCGAGCTGAGGTTTTCACAGGTTATACTTCAAGTACTAGGCACTTAATGTATGCTCGTTTGGTGATTACTGCTTTGTTTACTACTGCTTGGATACACTTATTGGAATTTTCTAATCACGTGGTACCTGAATTTTTGGCAGAACGTAATATAAAATTTCAAAAGCGAAAGAAAGGTGGGGATGTAGCTCAGGCGAAAATTTATGGTTGTTTATTGATTACAATGAATTAGCAATGTAAAAAATATAGACTTATATGCATGCGATCTTTGGATCATTAGTTGCAAGTCCTGAGAAGCGACGTACAGCAAAAAAGCTTAAATTAATAGTTTGATCTCCATGCAGGAACAACATGCAAGTGTCCAGAAAAGGGAAAAAAGGTCCTAAACTAAAAATTAAACTGGTAAAAAAGAAGTACAGGCAGGAAAAAGGAGTAAAACAAGTGAGATAAAAGGGTAGAGAATAAGAAGCTATGGTGTATGAGACATGCAATTGAGGATACCTCGATGTTCAGACAGCAGCACAGACAAAATAAACCCACAGACCTCAGTGGCACAAAAAAAGCAAGAAAAAAAGGAGAAAACGAGGCATTTGCATATAGCAAAATGAGCAGAGAGACAAAGACCAAACGAGAAAGAAGCAGAGAAGGAGGACAAAGTGAATACGGACACTACCACAAAGGCAGCAGAAACAGAAACAATGAGAGTGGGAATGAGAGAGCAAAACGATTTTAACAACAAGGTGTCAATCAGTTATCAGAAGGCTCTGACATTTCAAGATCCTTGGTAGCAGAGAGAGTGGGGGAGACAGCATAAGCCAAGAGAGAGGCAGTTTCAGCATCATGATGCAAGAGGTAGCCAAGATAACTCAAACGTTGTTTCTTGGCTAAACGCTCTTGATCAGAGGATCGGGATGGTGGTTTAGCAGCAGCAGAGGAGGAGGAACGAGCAAGCATTTCTTCTTTCAAAATGGCATCAAATTGGGCTTGGTTGATGCGATCATACAAAAGAAAAGAACGAGCAACAGAAATACGGACAGAGCGACGGACAAAAGACAGCGAACGGAGGCAGCGAAGGTTTTTCGATCTCAATGGCCTTTTGGACACGCAGATCACGAGAGAGAGAAGCAAATTTGGGATCCTTGAGATTGACTGGATCACATGGATCAAAGTCAATCAACGGAGAAGAGCCACGACCATGGAGATGCATGGCTTTGGTGAGGGTGAGAACATAGTCATTATGAACAAGGAAAGAAATCACATTCTGTACAGGATATTGAATATCCAGCACACGAGAGTTATTCAATCCTACGCCTTGAACAAGGCGACGCAGCTCAGAAAGACGACGGCGGACAGGAGTAGCATAGTACACAAATTGATAACCAGATGGTGTATCACTTTGAGGAGCAAAAAGACGAGCAAGAGTAGCGGATGCCTTGGTGGCAGATGGAGGAGGAGGACGAGCAGCAGGCTTCTTCTTACGCTTTGCCACCTGTATTAGATGCAACGACGGCAGCAAAAGATGGTTGATTTCCTGGAGACGAAGAGGTGGCAGAGGTAGCATTGGTGCATGTAGTTGATGCTGGTGCTGTTGTGGTGGTAGTAGTGGCAGGAGGTGGGTGGGATGATGATGGTTTGGGAGCCAGGCTAGTTGTAGTACCAGTAGCAGCTGCAAGTTTGGCTTCGAGAGTGTGACGAGCAGCTTCAGACTCTGCCAGGGCTGTTTTTTAACCGCTCAATTTCTACATGGGCGGTTTCCAGACGAGCTAAGCGATTTCGAACCTCAATCATAAAGGTTGAAAGTTGCTGTTCACTCGCTGGAGAGGCAGATGGAGGAGTTGTTGGTCCAAAATCAGTAGAAATGTTGATGATATCAACTGATGTTTGTGGATGGTGGTGCTGATGAGAGGTTGGAGTGGGTGTCATTTTCTTTGTTTTCAACTGTTGAGTGAAATCTACAGCGAAAAAAGGTGGAGATCTTGAGGAACTTGGCCGTTTTTGACCTGGAGAAAGAGAGGACGCAGAGCTTAATGCCTGGTTTACTTTGGTGTCGTCTGGAATGATGTTCTTGCTATGTATTGTATGGAATTGTAGAGTTGGGTCAATTTTTTCAATATTACTGGGCTTCAATGTATTAAAAAAATTGGTTGGGGATGTAGCTCAGTTTAACGTTGATTTTTATTATATACATGAATTCAATGGGCACTCGATGGGAGCATTAGCCTAGAATTCTAGAAACAAAAGAGTAGCAGGTACAAAAAACCCTTATGAGGACACTAACGAAGAAAAAGGGAAAAAGGAAAGTGTGGTAGTTGCAGAGGATCGGCATGAGTACTGGTATTGTTGATTTGATCTGGAGGAATGACCAACGGATGGGAACTTTGATAATTACTTACCACCGTGGCATCGCACCGAGAAAGCAAAAACAACAAACGTTCATCAATGAGCAGAAAACCAGAGCGATCCAGGATCTGGATCTGGTGGGATCACAGCCAGAGGATGCACAAGGCAATCAATGGCATGCAACAAAAGGAGCAAAGCAGACCAAAAGTACGGTGGACCAGCTGAAGCTTTGTCTGGAAGACAGTTCAGAGCATGGTCAATGCGATGTACACCAGGTGGAGCAGGTGGCAAAGCATCAAAAAAGGTACGATCCAGAGCACGACATGTCAGAAAGTGATCTCGGGAGATAAACTCACCGGTAGTGCACGGACATTCTTCACGCATATTGGTGAAACGTCCAAGACGCCACCGCACAAGACGACTACGAGCAGATCGACCAATAGGCAGATACAGGATGGGATCTGGACGAGAGACAGACGGACGACAAGCACGAAGGAGAGTCTGAGCACCAGAAACAGCAGCAGCAGCAAGTTGACGATCTACTTGATCTTGCCAATACGAATCAAAGACTTCAGTAAGACCAGCAGTGGTGAATGGCGGCGGATCAGGCAGTGTTAGATACAACGGGTTTTGACAGATAAATCTGTCTAGACGAGTGTACAGTAAACCACGACGAAGCAGAACCAACAAGCAATCATCAGGGAGAGTATCAGCACGAAGGGCATAACGTGTTGTCAGAACGTTATATCGATGCTTCATGCTGGGAAGACAGGTCAAATGTTTGGCAACATTGTACCATGTACTACCAACAAACATACCAACCAATCGATTTTGCAGAGCATCAAGAGCCTTGAAGTCACGGAAAGAGAGATGAGATATAGCTAAGCCGTATTCCAGTTTGGGACGAATAAAGCTTTTATACAAACGAGCACAAAGCAACAGAGAAAAACCATTTCGATTGACACCAACCGAATTTAACAATGCCATTGTCTTGATAGCACCAGAAGCACGCAGATTGAGAATCCCAGGGGCATACAGACCTTTATATCTAAACGGCATACCAAGATACGTGAATTCCTCTACCACAGGAAGAGGTTCACCGTATAGAGACAATGGATGACGAGTAGAGGCAATAGGAGCACAAAGTAAAGCACATTTTGATGGTTTCCACCTGTAGCCAAGAGAGAACGAGTGATCTGAAGCGATATCCAACATGGTTTGCACATCAGTACGAGAGCCAAATATGGCCACATCATCAGCAAAGAGCAGGCTATTCACGCAAACACTAGGCATCCCAGGTGGTGATACCATAGTACCGCGACTGACAGCAGAACGAAGAACAGCAGGCAGAGAGTTGATGTACAGAGAGTACAAGTGAGGGCTGAGCACTGAACCCTGCAATACGCCAGTAGCAGGCGAAAAGGGAACAGAGGTGTGATTTGCAATCAACACAGACACGAGTACATCATCGAACATGTGGATGAGCAAACTGAGAACTGAACGAGGCAGAGAGGAACGAGAGAGAGCATCCCAAATCACTCGACGATCCACGGTATCATACGCTGATTTGATGTCTAGGAAAGCAACCACAGGGTAGTGGTGGTGGGTGAGGAAGTAGTCGTGCATCAAGTCATGTAAACAGAGGGCTTGATCCAGAGGACTACGCTGTGGGCGAAAGCCACCTTGAGCAACATCAAGTGCAGGCGAATGTTCATCAAGAGCAGGCATCAGAGAGAATTCGAACAATTTACGCATCACCGAAGTAAGCGAAATTGGACGAAAGTTTGCAGGATCAGATACATCACCTTTCTTGTAAATGGGAAAGACTTGAGCATGTCGCCATAGGGCTGGTGTATACGACCACTGAGAGCAGAGTGTAAAGAGCAGAGACAATACGGGTGCAATGTCAGATGCTAGAGCCTTCAGCATTTCAGCTTTCAAATGATCAGGACCAGGAGCTTTCCCATTTGGCAAACGCTTAATGAGGGAGACAAGTGTATCAGCATCAAATAGACCCAAATCAGCGGTGGACACATCATAAGGCAAATCAGAGAAATTGGACGGAGCAGCAAGGCGAGACGCATTATTCAACAGGGAGCCATCATAGACAGAGGCAAGATGGGACGCCATTGTGTTGACAGAGGCAGTTGGACCGTCTGGATGACTGTACGTTGCAGAGCATTCCTTGTTTCTTTTAATGCGCTTGATTGCAGCAGTAGCTTTCGAAAAATCCTTTTCCAAATCAGAGCAAAACTGATTCCACGATCGACGCTTAGCAGCTTGTACAAGAGAACGAAAACGCCTGTGAGCAGCTTGATAGAGATTCCATGTTTCGACTTTGGCAAAACGACTTGCCCACCTCCATCTACTATACATAGTATCTCTTTCACGAGCAGCATCCTCAATTTCCTGTGTCCAGTACTTTTTCCAGTGGCCAGGACGACCAGATTTCACACCAATTGAGCTATCCAGAGATTCATACAAACATTGATTCAAAGAATCGTTGATTGCATCAATATCTGGACAAACACCAGGGGGAGCAGACACCAAACCAGAGAGAGAACCAACCAAAGGAGCAACAGAAGTTCGAAAGGATTCACGAAGCAAGCCCAAAGGCCGCTTTTTCCTCAATTTCGAGAGCTTCCATTGCCGTCTAGGGGCCAAACCACCAGAGCTACCAGAACCAAGAGTATCATCGGGAGGGGGCACATACTCGAAAGTAAGTACCATCAGCCGATGATCAGAGCCAAGAGACAGATCAGATTCAACCACCAGTTGAGGATGTAACAGAGCAGCCTCGCCAATGTTTGTAAGAAACAGATCAATGATGCTATGAACCTCTTGTTGACGTCGAAAAGTTGTGAATGTGGGTGTACCAAATGCTAAAGACTCATTGAGAATGGAAAAAGAGGACTCCTCCAGCCATGGCAGTAGTGAGGTACCACGAGGATTAGCATTAGTATCACCCAGTAGAGATCCAAAGCGAGCATTGAAATCACCACAAAGGATGGTATCACTGGTTACGGGTAACGAGCGAAGAAGCGAGAGCACCTTATCCGAGGATAAGGGTGGAGGCAGATACACACAATGAACCGTAAGGGTGCCAACCTTAAGGGACAAAGTGTGTGCATTGTAAGATGGAAGTTGAGAGACAGAGAAAGGACAGGAAGGAGAGACAAAGGCAGTAATGCCACCAGAACCACGGTTAAATGCACCAGGTACTTTAGAGCCATAGAGGTGGAATTGAGACCAGTTAGTAGGGAAAGAACCAGAGGTTAGCCAGGTTTCAGTGACAAGCAGTACATGAGTGTTCTGAACATGATGGAGAACATCATGTACTGTTGATTGACGTAGACCATTGGCATTCCAAAGGGAGAGAGAGACTTGAAAGGAGTGGACTGGGTTGTTATTGGGAGTATGACTAGTAGCTATGTTACTCATTAGAGTTCCATAGCAGAGCCATTGCTGTCATGATCTTCCTTTTGACGCTTGAACAAGAATTTAGCCTTTTTGGGCTCCTTCTCGGCAAGACGACCGATAGCTTCAGAGACGGCTATATCTAGCTCTTCTTGAGAGATCCAGCCAGCAGAGACAAAGTATTTGCCAACGCCACTAACGTTGAGTGGACGAAGGAAAGAGAGGGTTTGCAGAGCACGGGTGTTGGTGAATTCATAGATCAATTGCTCACGCTCTTCAATGGCAAGATCAGCATATTTGGGATCAGCAATGTTGTTGGGATCCAAGGGTTGAAAGTTTTCAATGTGATCAGCTTCACATTTGCGCATACAGGCGAGAAACTCCTCTACATATTGGATGTGGAGCAAGATGCCAATGACGCCAGTGGCAGGGAAACAGATGTCTAACACACGGCCAGTATCAATACCAGCTCGGCGAAGTTGGTAACGAACCTCAGAGCGCAGGATTTTACCAGAGCGGCCTAGATACACATACTGGTATCCTTGTTGACCTTTGGTGGTGGCGGTTTGGAACATACGACCTGCAGCAAGACGTCGCTTGGTAGTACGGGCAGGGTCACGATGTTGGGCACCTTTACGGGCAGCAGATGCGTAGCTACCTTGAGTAGCATCGGGTTGGTGAATAGTAACAAGCTCTTGGGTTGGTGTTACCTGAGAGCTGGATTGAGCACCTTGATTGGTGCGGCGGGATGAGAGTTGGCCCTGTAATTTTTCAATTGCAAGGTCCTTGGCCTGTAACTGATTTTTCAATTCTCCATTTTCCTTTTCCAAAAGGTCCAGGCGAGCAAGGAGATTGTCATGTTGCTGTACTCGCTCGGTGAGAGAGACCAGTTGTTGCTGTTGTTGTTGAACAGTTTGGATGAGCTGATTCAAATCCATAAATTGCTGATTATTGTTGAGCATGGCTGAAAATATTCTATCAAACTTTGGAGATTCAATAAAATATGAAAAAGATGTCCAACAAACTGGAAGTTATAACACAATGTACGTTGACTAAATGCAAGTAAACTGGTACAACTGAAGGCTAGTTGGAGTGTTTGTTGTCGAGATAAACCGCTTTTATAGTGAGGAAATACTTTTTACCGGGGGAAGGTGGCAAAAAGTGAT